TAAATGCTACAAACTTACAAAACCATGATTTGAAAGTTTCATTATTTCCATTTCTTTGATACTTAGTCTTATGAGTTTAAAATAATTAATTTTTAATTTTAATTTTAACCACATAAGGCTTCTTGTCATTATGAATTTTCATGCAATAGTTTCTGAATGATATTTTCTCAGGACCTGAGTTCCTCTTATTTGGCTTTCACTGTCATTTGATCCATCTCCATTAGGCTTTTTCTTGTAAGGTCATGTGAAAATTGTTGTGTATACACCAAAACCTAGGCCTCTGGATGATCTTACAGCCAAGGTTACAAATGCAATCCCTTCTGTTCTGAGCAACAGCTGATGAAAGTTTTTATAAAGTTAGAAAAAAATTATGTGTAGCACAGGATGGTGGTTTTATTCGATTTTAATAAGAAATATATCAATATATTAAAAATGTAAATAATTCACTTTTGAAAGGTTAACTTTTTGCACATTTGTAGCATTTATATTTCTGAAATTATTTAAGTTTTTATAACTGCGTTCAGACTTTTGGGACACCCTGTATTTTAATACATATCTAATATAACTAATAAAATATAATAGTGATGGGTGGTTTTTTGATGTGTGTATTTCCTGACCTATGATTTCATTAATGAAAGGAGTTCCAGCTTTATCTGCAGCTTCAAGTTGTCTGACTATGCTTCATCTGCAAAGTGGGGTAGATAATAGTACCTCTCACAGGATAGTTGTATGACTCAAATTATATACACACATATACATATGTACACATATACATATATATGTATGTATGTGTATATATATGTGCATGTATGTATATACATATATAATATATGAGATATACATATCTCATATACATAAGATTATATATTAAACACTAATAAAACATATAAAATGTATGTGATATATATGTGTATGTGAATTATTCTTACAAGAGGTACTAGTGGCTCAAAAAGTGGTCCTTGAAGGTCACCCAACAAATATGTGTCAGAAGCTCTTTTAAAAAAATTATCTTTTTTTTTAATTTACAGAATAAAACAAGCATTTCCTTTTTTTTCCTTTTCAACACTTTTATTAATATATTTTGTTTTTTAATCACTTTCACTTCCTAATACATCCTTTCTCCCCTGCACCCATCAGCTAAGTCAGATCATGTTCAACACACATTGATCCCCACCTCAAAAAGAAAAAAAGGAAAGAAATTGGGCATTGCTTTTAAAACAGGGTTCCGCAATAAAGAAACAAAAGGCAAACAAGCTCTAAACAAGTGTTTCCTTATCACAATATAACAGAAAAGATGATTGCACATCAAACTGCAAATCTCTTATGCACAACTTGCTCTTCATTTTCAACCTAAGAGACAGCTCTTTTAAAGGCAAGTGGTCTTGGCTTCATTGCCAGCTTCACTGCTGTCACGGTGCCTCTCTAGAATAATACATTGATATTATATGTACACATGTACATGTATATATTATATATGCATATATAATTTCATGAAGTTAAAAGATTAAAGAAATAAAATCATAATGAAGCTTGGAAGTTCTACATAAATAAAATAAGAGTTCTCATTTACTCAGAATGCAAATGGTGTCTATGTCTACTCTCTGGGTCTTGGATTAATTATTTAACATATATTTATTGATTACAACACTGTGTTGCAAGACCCTTGCAAGATTATTGTAGGAGGAGAGGAAACAAAGAAGCAGAAAAGTCAGTCCTGAAAGAACTTAGATGTCATATACAGATAAAAAGATAACTAAAAATATAAGGAAATCTATAATAATTGCTGGATGAGTGGTACATTAATTAAGTGATATAGAATTTGAAGGAGGAGCCAGGAAAAGTCAAAGAAGTCTTTATGTGAACTTGGCCTTGAAGGATGAGGGATAGTATTTTACCAGTTTGTGGGGAGGGGAACATTCCCTTTGTGTGGCAAGAACAAACACAAATTAGGATTCTTTTGTTTTTAGAACTAATTAATTAATTTTTCATTTTCAGCCTTCACTTTTATAAGATTTTGAGTTCTAAATTTTTTCCCACTTCCTTTCCTCCTCCTTTCCCGAAGACATCATACAATCTGATATAGGCTATACTATTCTATGTTGTTCTTTTCATTGCCAGCTTCATATTAAATATATTTCCCCAGCAAATCAGGATCCTTAAGGTCATTTCAGAGGAGACAATTGAAGAAAAATAAATGTGGAAAGCATTCACTTCCTGGACAGGTGCAGTCCCCCACAATCCTCCTCCTTCTTTCCCTCCTTAATGTGTTATGGAACAAAGAGCTGAGGCATTTAACATAGTTGGCTAGATGGGATTTAATTCTGCCCTTTAAGGGGAAAACAAAACAAAACAAAACAAAACTGGAGTTATTTTGAGATGTGGAGGTCCCTGCCCATGATTTCTCCATCCTTTAGGTTTTAGCTCTTAATTATTTGTTCCTTGCCTATTGTGTTTCACAAGCTTCTGAATTTAAATGTCAGCTCCTTTTGGTGTTAGAGTTTTTCCTGGTTTGAACTCGGGAGGGTGGGAAGGACTCTTTCTCTCTCAATGTATTTCAAGCAGCCAGTTGAAAAATTTGTGAAATTTGGGCCACATTCAGGATTTGAGACAGATTGTAAAATGAAGAGAGAATTTTTCCAGGGTTTTAGTTTCAACATAGACCCTTCCCAAAGAAATGCCTGAAGCCAAGAACTAGGCCATGATCTCCTCAGTGAGGATGGAAAAAACACTCCCCATGGATGCTTATCTGGTGATAATGCAGCATCTGGTCAGGACATTAAAATAGGTTATTTGTTTACTCACAAGCAAATCTTACTCTTTTCTCTTTGCGTTCCTTTAAAAAAAAATCATCATTCCTCCAAATAGTAGGGGGAGGAAGCTATACTGAACACTCTTTTTAAATTTTTTCATTTATTAAAATTTGAGTTATTTTTTGTATTGAGGACTTTTTAATTTCCCTTTTTCCTTAAATTTTTTATTATTTTCTTTTGTTTCCACATTACCTTTGTTTCTCAGTATCTCCTATTCCCTTTCCGTTAACTTTCTTTTATAACAAGGTACTAGAATACTACTGTGCCCTAAGAAATGAAGAAGATAGGGAGTTAGGAAAGACTTACACGAACTGATGCCAAATGAAGTAATCAAAACTGGGAAAATAATTTATACAATCACTATAGCAATGTGAATGAAAAGAACAACATAGAATTGAATTATTATAATGACTAAGCTTGACACTGCAAAGTAGAACATCAGATGTAGAATACTGCATACACTATTGGAGTGGATCGATGTATTTATTAGTTTTGCTGAACTGCATGTGATTTTTTAAAATGCTAAATATTGAGCCAGAATGGATACAAGCACTAATATCATCTTTGAGAAAACTAGCCTCTTGAACAGCATTTTAAAGAAAATATTGTCTTAAGATTATTGATAGGAAAAAACCCCCCAACAATATGAAATGAATCAACCACTCATAAGGGTAGTTTGTGACAGCTGCCCTGTCCAGGGCCTCCCAAGGAGGGCTATACTTTCCAAATTTCTGTGGTTGCCAAGATGGGGAGTGTCATCACTGACTCTTATCTTCCTATATCCCTTCTGGGATTTTATTTTCACATGCCTTTCCCTCATGCAGAACAGTAGCCTTTGGTTCCATTTGGCCAATGAGTACCATATTCCTCTAGCTTTCATAAAGTCTCAAACCCAGGCTAAATGGAAACCTAAAGGTTAATGTGAAGTTGACTGTTTATTACTAACGTTAGGAAACACCAAGACTTCGGAATCCTACAACTTGTACAGACTTTTTGTTTCCCACATATTCTCTCAGTGCAAAATATTTCCCTCTTCCCTCTAATATTTCAGATGTGGTGATTTGGAAGGAGAATAATGAGGGTGGGGAGGAAAGGAGAGGGAAGAAAACAAGGCCTGGCCAGGAGTTAACTGCTGATGGTTAAGTTTGTAGTTTTGGGGGTTTTTTGTGTTAATTTTTTTGCTTCATGACAATTGCTTAGCCTTTCTTTCAGTTTTAAATCCTATGTATGTGTGTATGTATGTTTTTCCTATGATATCCTTTGGATATCACACAAAAAAATTACCTTTGATGAAATAGTCATGATAGGACAGAATTAGCACTTCTAGGAATGATAATTTTGAAAAGAAAATAGAAAATAAATTCACTTTGAAAACTTAAAAAAGAATTCAAGAACAAATTCCTGATGACCTATGAAAGAAAGCCTGAAGCAGGGAAAAGATGCTGAATGTCCTTATGGGTTTATTTTACCTGAAAATAATTAATAGTTTTTTGTTTAAAGGAAGATGTAAACACATTTATTATCTGTCTGGATATATGACTGTTAGGTTAAAAAATCTCATTTTTAATATCAAGACTGAACACTTTGCTAATATGTTTTGGTTTATATTCTGGATGTCTTTTAACGGGTAGCATGCTTAGATTTTCTGCAAATGTCATCCTCGTTCTTAGCTAGTTATATTATTGAAGTAACATAGCAGCGGTTTAAAATCTTTGTGACCTCCAAGATTGATTAGAAAAATCCCATTAATGAAAGAAGATGCTAATCGGTAATGTGTTTTGCCAGTCATCACAGGCCTAAGCAGTCTGCATAATCCATTGTTGATTAAGTTAATGAAAGCCCAGTACTGGGTTTGAAAGCTTTGTGACAGCAGATTGGAATAAGATTGAAGGCTTTTAGACCGTGCTACTCTAGGGGGTTCAATCAAGATGGGAGGGTTACTTATCCACGTGGCTCTAACATGCATTAGGTGGGCTTAGGGGGTTTCCTTTGTTTTTGCTGAGGGAGGAGAAGGAAGAGAAGGAGGACACAGAGAGGAATGATCATACTGTGCCTTGATGAGTTTATTATCACTGTCAAGGCTAACAGATGGCTTTGGATAGGCAATAGCGGCTCTATGTACGGACATTGTGCAGCTGGGGAGCTCGTGTCATGTGAGACTTACTGAATATTCTTTTTCTTTCCTCACAGGTGACATCACACAGAAAGGTTATGAAAAGAAGAGATCAAAATTAATTGGGGCCTATCTGCCACAACCTCCAGGTATGTAAATCTTGACTGGTCCCATAAAATCTAAAAGATCTGTGGGTCTTGAGAACTAATCACATTAGGCACAGGGCAAATAAGATGGATCATTTGAGACCAGAGAACATTTTTGATATAGAGTCAACACTAATATCACACACTTTTTGTATGTAAATAGCACATTTCTTTGTGTCTTTATACGTACCCTAATCAGTTGGATACTTGATTTAACCAATCGTTCATGTAGTGATGGCAAATAATGTAATAGTTGTTTTTGAAAGCCCCATTCCTATAAAAAATGAAGACCAGTTAGGATTTTAAAATACTTTCTCTCTCTTACTCTCTCTCTCTCTAAAGATTTCTACCTGGAAATAAGACTACAAAATACTGTCCGTGATTATGAAATCTTGGAGAAAGGCTTGCTGTGTTTTAAATTGTAGCTTATGTAAAATATGTTTTATTTATTCTCCTCACATGTACAGCATCTACCTCATTCTAGCCTTCTCAGATTTGTTAGTTAATGTTGTCTTTTTTGCACTTGGGTGATCTTAGTCTTTCCTTGAGCCTTGGTAAATTCCAGGAAAAAGGAGGCCAATGTTGGAAAGGAGTGTCGATGTCTCAGCTCTCAGGCAGTCCTGTCTGGAGTCTAAGGGTGACCTTGGGGCTTTCTATATGCTAGGTGCTGCTGAAATGAACTTAATTAAGAAATGTCTATTTTCCTAAGAAAAAATAATGGAACTCTTATACTATGAAGTTGAAGAGGTACTGATCTCATAAGCTGTTTTTTTATGTTATTCTGTAAATTTCAGGCTATAAAGCATTGCTTTGAAGTTCTGCTAGAGAACATATACACAGAGAGACACACATACACACATACAATGAAGCATTCTACTAACTTCTTTTAGCTTGAGAATAATAACTGTAGCTAACCGTGATGTATCTGGTGACATCCTACCACCACATAATGGCAAAGTGTGTTCAAAGAGAGCTTATTTGTATGCTGAGTCTCTGCTGCCTTTGTAAACTTCATTTTAGTTTTCTAGTTTTATTTTAATTTTTAGTCTATTCCTTTTTCCTTCCTTTAGCTTTAAGATAACAAACATAAAAAATGGGTTGGAACATAATAATGTATTGTTTCTTTTCTTTCTTTCTTTCTTTCTTTCTTTCTTTCTTTCTTTCTTTCTTTCTTTCTTTCTTTCTTTCTTTCTTTCTTTCTTTCTTTCTTTCTTTCTTTCTTTCTTTCTTTCTTTCTTTCTTTCTTTTTTTTGGTAATGATTAACCAAAGCAATTTTCCCAATAATAATATGGAAGGGGATACTTAGGAAGGATAGAGCATTGACTCATTTGGACAGAACTCCCCTTGCCTCCTAATTCCTCATGGGAGACATTCCTGGAAATTAGATTGTCTTTCTCAGGCCTTGATTAGCTGAAGGAAGAGTAGGATTGATGTTGCTGCTTCCTGGATCTAAGATGAAAGAGGATGGAGGCAATCCTTCATCAGAACACTCATGACCAAAAAAAGTTGGGCTTGCCCAAACCCTTCATGTGTAGATCACTTGAGTCAATCGTAAGGAGACAAGTGATGGAAAACCCCTGGTTTGTTGTGTTTTCTCTCCTCCTTCCAACAGAATCATAGCCAATGCTGACCTTCTAAATAACCATGCCACTTGCTGAACTGTTTCAAGGAAGTGGAATCTTCTGTATTTTGGAAGATGGCTGGGGATGGATTGGTTGTGTGTTGTCCTTGTGGTTGTTTTCTCATCTGTGCATTGCAAAACAAAAGTGAAACAGAGGCATTTCCCAAGAAGATAGTTCTCAAGCCGCAGCTTTGCAAAGAACATGATTGACCCCAATGTTGGCCGGGCACTGATGGTGGAAAGCGCCTGGGCTGTGTCGTGTGGTCCCTTGTTTGTTGTGTGTGCTGTTCTGCATGGGGGCGGGAGCTCCACTCACTGCTGTAACAAATTTAAAAAAAACTAAAATTTGAATTAATTAGTTTTTTTTCAACTTGTTACAGCAGCGAATGGAGCTGCCGCAGTACGGTGTAGACTGCAGCACAGTGAAGGACCCACAAGAAGGATGCTCCGTTCCGCCAACATCGGGGTGTGTGACATCCGGGAAGCAGCGGCCAGAGACCGGGCGGCCAGCACCGCGGGAACCCGGCCTCTGTTTTACTTTCGTTTCGGTGAGCACTACTTTCAAAAGGGAGAAGGAGAAAGAAGTAGTAGAAAAATCATTGTCCAGTACAGAAACCTAAAATTCAGAAAATACTCAACTTTGTTATACTTGAAATGAAAGAATTACAGAATCATAGAGCTAAAAGAATCTTAAAGATCATTTGATCCAGTTTTTCTATTTAATAGACAAGGAAACTAAGGACCAGAAAACTGAAATGATTTACTGAAGGTAACATAGTTGATTGTCTTCTGACTCTCAATTCATTGAGCTTTTCTGTATAATTCTCCCATTTTTTATTTTACAACTCTTTATTCAGAGTTGGAGGAACACACAACTTATACTTAAAAAACAGAAAAAAACCTTGAAAATTCACAACCCATTCAACTACATTTCTCTGATTTCCTATCAGTTCCATTATTCTGTGGTCAGACATCTGTTGGAAGGCTGGACTCAGTTCTGAACATCAAACCACTTAGGCTTTTAAAGACTTGTAAATTAGTAAATTTTACAGATCACAAGAAAGCGTGTTTGGCAGAAACCAAAAAAGAAAGAAAACAAACAAACAAACAAAAAACCCAAAAAACCCTAGTCAATCTGAAGCTCTTAGGCCAACGGAAAATATGAACCTCCTGATTGTATCATAAGAAACCTCATGTTTATAGACCAAAGTTTTAACCTCATCAATCATCCCATGGCATATCTCCTCCTGGCCGCTCCCTCCGATAAATATATTCCCATTGAATAATGTACATGTAATGGAAATCATAGATATAGAACTTGCAGAGACCTTGGAGGATATCGATTTCATCTTTCTCATTTTAAAAATGAGGAAAATGACTGGGCAAGTCACTTAACCCCAGTTGCCTCACCAAAAAAAAAAAAAGAGGAAAATGAATTACCAAATGGTTATGTGACTTGCCCAGGATCCTTATGCCAATAAGTATCTGAAGTTATACTTGAACCCAGGTCTTCCAGAGGTCAAGTCTAATGCCTTAACCAACTATGTCAGGCTGATGAGACATGGGTTGAATACAGTTATATATATTAAGTTCCTGATCCATATCTCAGTTTTAAAGATAGAGGTAAAGGTTGCCCCTCCCCATTCTTCCCATTGTGTTTGTCTCTCAACCTCTGCTTCCATCCATCCTTTGCAATTTGACCCTCAGCTAAGTAGTTGATGGCCCTGGAAGCCTATAATACATTTGCCAATGAGAAGAGACAGAAAAGAGAAAAGAAACAGATGAAGTGACAGAACTGTCAGCTTTCAGCAAGGTGGTGACTTGTCATCAGATACCATCTTAGGATTTTTTTTTTTGAAGACTCATATGCCAATTGAACACAAGTGGAAAAAATATAATTTGACAGGAGAGTGTTTTGTGTAGGGGAGCCATTTACCTCCATTAGTCTCCCTGGTTTCCTCTAAGAACTAAAAAACTTTATTGCCTTCCCACCTGTGATTTGAAGACAGGTTGTCCTACTTCATGGTCTATGGGAGGCTGATACTCGATCTTGCTTCCTTGTATTATTTGGTGGTTTTTTCCCACTGTTCTTATTCTCTTAGAGGTTTATTCCTGAGTGAATAAATGCATTCATTATGCATAGCTTAATTCTCTAGCAAGTCAGTAAGTGAAGCAGATGTTTCTAAATTAAAGAATTTCATTCTTTCTTGATTGGCCCACTTTTTATAATAATTCTCCTTATATTGAAGACTCAAAAACTTTTTGCTTTTTCTTTTTTCCCCTCATTCTGTCATATGTGGAAAGACAAATCATAGAATTTTTTATGTTTTTGTCAGGAAATAATTTGGTATTATTTCACGCAAGCTTTACTAAAGCATGTAAGGTGTTTCCAATGAATTCCTTTTCATTTTAAGACTTATTGTAGCAGAAACAATGCTAGAGCATTTGTGGTAGAAAATATGATTAGGATTTCCAAGTGGTTTTAAGAATATATGACTTCTGATTGGAGCTTTTGTAGACTTTTGTGTAATATTCAAAGCTATTGGGTTTCAGCAGATGGTTTTGAACATTCATGGTAGAATATCAGCACTATCCCCAGTGCTCCTTCTGGAAACTGTTTCCCTTTGCCACTTTTATAGGGCTTTTTTAGACAGGTTGAATGGATTATGTCCATTTAGTAAACATTACATTCAATAGTGACTATAGGCATCTCCCGAGAATATTGTGGTACTCCCAGTAATGATTGAGGAAGACCTTTGTTTATTTATACCATAAAAACATTCCAAGACATAGGATGTAGAGTTCAGAGATAAAATATTGCAGATCAAGAGTAATATTTGAAAGAAGGAGAAATACTTAAGGCACCTTAGCGTTTGTGTGGTACTTGTCCTGTTCTGACTTTTTAAACTTCTTACACCATATTCCGTTAACTGTTCTAACTGATTAGCCTTACAAATGTATGATGTGGAAATCAATGCACTTATCTTTCTTCTCAGTGAAATTTTATTAGTACCAAGTATGTTTTTGTAATTAAGTGCTTACTGTTTCTATACCATGGACTGCAGTGGTATAATGCAATCTATTACTATCAATAAATAGCATAACTTTTTCTCACCCAGATAAACACTAAGAACATTTTATGACACATGTCTTAAGTAGCTTGTGTTTGTTCTAAGTGCTGGTCTGTAAAATATCACTTACTCTACAAAAACTGTCAATTAGAATGCTAGCATGCTTCTCCTTTTTTTTGTGTGATGTTTGGCACCATCCTAGAATATTCCCTCATTCGCTCAGCTTTCTTCTTTGGATTTAGATAAACTTTTCATTTTTGAAACCTTTCTAGGTTGAAGTAGTTATTAAAGAAGGTACTCACTAAAACTCTCTGCTCCAGAAGTCCTCATAAGCTAAGTCTTTGCCCTGTGAGGCATTTTTGAGTATTGATGTGGAATGATTTGTTGCTATGGTAACTGGAGATACAAAATCCATAACATAGCATAACACACAAGTGTGCAACTTAAGGATAATCACAGAATCACAGAATTTGTAGGGAGCTCGCATCCATGTAGTCCATTTCTTTGCCTAGAGAAGAAATTATAATATACCATCTATTCAGTTTTTGCATGAGGAAGTCTAGTGAGAAGGAATCCTCTACCTTGGAAGCAGCCAATTCTACTTTTGAACAGCGTTAGCTGTTAAGAATTTTTTCCTGACGTGAGCCCAAGTCTGCTTCTCTGAAACATCTATCTATCATGCCCAGTTCTACCTTCTGGTCCGAAACAATGAGTCTAATCTCTTTTCTCTCTGATAGTTTGAAGGCAATTTTATGTCCTCCTGGAGCATTTTTCTTTCCAGGTATCTCCAATTTCTTCATATAGTTGAAAATAACCAGCATGTTCCTATGAAGCCTTTTCTTCTCCAGACCAAACATTCCCATTTCCTTCATATAGCTGAGGATAATGATCATGTCGCTCATGAGCCCTTTCTTCTCTAGGCTAAACATCCTCAGTTCTTTCCAACAGTCCTTATAGATCATATATTTGAGACTGGCTCTTCTATTTGCCATTCTCTAGACATTCTCTAACTTCCAAAAATTCCTTCCTCACATGTGGCACCTAGAATTGAACATATTACTCCTATATATAGGTCTACCAGAACAAAGTACAACTCTTTTTTTTTTTAGATTTAAAGTGTTTTTAAAATTTTTTAATTAAATGATTTGTTAAAAATAATATTAATCAGTATAGCTAATTAAATTTGCTTAGCAGCTATTTACAGTTAAATTAATTTCAATGCATAAAATAGAGCTTTTCAGTCATTGCCACTAAGGCCCCACAAATCAGAATTTTTTGCCCAATCATTTTTACTTTGGCTTTTTTCATTTTGTATTATTTCATAATGGTCTTTCTAGATTTCTTTGAAAGTACAACTCTTAATAGATCTATCACCTTGTTGATTTCCACAGTTGGTGATCTGGCTGGCAGGGTAGATGCCCCCTGCTTCTTCCCCACCTCATAGGTACCACACTGTAGAGGGAAATCTCAGAAGATCTGTTTTAAGTCCTCAGTCCAACACTTGCTCACCATGTGAATATTAGTTTCCCAATCAGTAAAATGGGGATAATGATGTTTTTGATATTCTGATAATAATGCTGTTTTCTCACAAAGTTGTAAGGAAAGTGTGTTGTGAACTTTTGAGCAGTATAACAATGTGAGCTTTTATTATTAGTACCTCCCTAGAAACTAGAAGAATGAAGAGGGCAGTCTCTTCCTGTGCAGGTAGTAGTGTTTGTACTCTTTGCTCAAGAGCACAAACATAATTCAGATGTACCACTCTTCCTTCTGTTTCAGCTTATTTTGCTCTTCTCTCCCCACTCCACTCTATTCGTCTTTGGAATGACACAGTTTGCAAAGTGAACAAAATTTGATTCTCTCTTTTTTATTTCACTTAGCATTCTTTTTTAAAATTTTAATTAATTTATTTTGAATTATCAGCAATCACCTCCATAAGCTTTTGAGTTTTAAATTTTTCTACCCCTGCCTCCCCACCTCCCTCCCCAAGACAGCATGCAATCTGATAAAGGCTATACATATACATTCCTATTAAACATATTTTCACATTAGTGATGTTGTAAGTAAGAATTAGAACTAATAGGAGGAACCACCAGAAAGAGGAGACAAAACACAACAGGAGAAAAAAAATAGCAAATAGTATGCTTCAATTTGCATTCAAACTCCATAGTTCTTTCTCTGGATGTGGATAACATTTTCCATTATAAGGAATTTGGAGATGTCTTAGATCCTTGTATTGCTGAGAAGGGTTAAATCTGTCAATATCAGTCATCACACAATATGGCTGTTACTATGTACAACGTTCTCCTGGTTCTGCTCCCTTCACTCAGCATCAGACCATATGAGTCTTTCCAGGTTTTTCTGAAGTCAGCCTGTTCATTATTTCTTACAGTACAATAGTATTCCATTACATTCATATACCACAGCTTGTTCAGCCATTCCCCCACTGATGGGCATCCTCTCAATTTCCAATCCTTTGC